AGGCACTGCGGTACTGCTGGCAGTGTGCTCTGCTCCTTGTCTGGGTGATCACTGCACTGTCACAGCATCCTTAGCATTGCAGCAATGTGTTTTAGCTTAGTGGCTGTTCAACCATGGTCATTAGAGAAGAAACATCTCAGTCCCTTGTTCTCAGCGTGGGTGAGTGGGAAGGGCTTCAGTCTTTGCTTCTGGTTCCAAATGTTCTTGTTTTGTCATCTGCCGTCGCTATTTTCCACAACTTCTCTCCTGCTTTCTTTCCATGTAAGTGGGAAGACAGGCCAAGTGCAGCACTATAGTTCTGACATCTTTCATACTTATACAGCTGCCCCTTCCTCACACCCAAGACAGTACAAAGGGTCTGGGGAAAGTGAGGAATCAGCTGTGTACTCCTTTATCATTCGTGGTCCAGAAAACAAATAAGATGCTCTGCAGAAATGTCTCGTTCGGTTTCTTTGGTGATCTGGAAGTGTTTGGAAAGCTGTTCCCATCTGGGAAACCCCAAGTCTTTGAGCGTGGGGAGGAGAGAGGGGAGGAAGATGGAGAGTTTTTTTTTTTCTCGCATATATCTAAAGACAGAGGAGTACTCCGGGAGAGTCAGCATGTCAGCCAGAGGGAGAGGGCAGCGGATCAAAGGAAGCTCTCAGCTCGCCTTCTACTCATGGAGAGCAGCTGTGCGGAGAAGCTAGGGAGCTAGTGCCAGGGTCACTCAACTGGAGGAGCACTTCCCATAGGGATCAGCAGCTGATAAGGTAGGTTAGTCAGCGGTTTTGTCTTCCCATCTTAAGAGCCAAGCTAGAATGTGTCACTTGTGAGAAAACCTGCACTGTGCAGGTTCCAAAAAGCATCTCTCTGGGTGAGAGCCTTGCTGCCCTTCTCTGTCCTGGCTGTCAGCAATGTACAGAGATGCTGCAAATCCCAGCACCTGTGTTGCATCCACAGTGAATTTTGTAGGTAGGTCTGCAGGCAGGCCTCCCTAGGCCTTCTTAGGACAGCTTCCCTTTCTCCCATTTGGAAGGCAGGGAAAGTTGTTACAAGATGTACAATTCCTTGCCTCGCTGAGTGCTGGAGGAAATGTATAGGATTTAGGGTTTCATAACTCTCTGCTAATGCTGGTCCTTTTGTTTGCCTGGTGACTAGGACGGAGGCACCAGAGGGCGTCGCTGTGCCATTGAGGCAGACATGAAGATGAAGAAATGATGCTGCAGACAGAGGGAAAGACCCAGCACCTGGCATCCAGAGCTGGAGTGCAAGCAAGACGCTGCTGTTACAACTGTCAGAGGAGGAAGAAAAGCTGCGTGTTCCTTTCTGGGACCTGTTCCACCTTCTTGGCTCGTCCCTCTGAAAGCAATATCTCGTCAGAATGTGTAACCCAAAGAAACTTCCCTGGAGGGGAAGAATAGCCCTCCTGCCTGTTCTAGGGCAGTAGTCTTGGGCTTCATCAGTGTTCTGGTGTTAGCTAGCAACTGGTGGCTCGTATGTACTGTAATGTGAAGTGTACAGATTTTTACTAGTGATGTGTAAATGTATATGTATATTAAAGTCTGGGAACAAATCCATTGTACTGTGTGCAGTGTACTGAGTATCACAGCGCTGCAGTGAGGAACCCTGCTCCTGTACAGTTGTGCATAGCCGTCTTGCGTATCTGCAAATATAACTCACTTCCAGTTATCCCTATTGGAAGAAAGCACTGACATTAGAGAGCATCAGCCAATTATCAGAATGATGCATGGTGCTTGGTTCAAGGGAAAGATTGCCTGCTTGAGTGTGTAAGGGTGTGGTGCTGTTGTTTACAAAATACACCAGGAGATCTAACGACAAAAAATGAAATACTAGTCTCGTCAGAGCCTCACTTAAGAGGCTGACGTATTGAACGTACCTTACGTTCTTCCCTGAGTACTGAAAGGGGTAAGCAAGTGAAAATCGCCTGTCATTCCAGAAGCTGTAGACATGCCGGTATCTGGTTTCAGCGCTCTTCTTCTCTGGTTGGACACTGGAGCTCTTGAACTGTTTCTCTCTATGGCGGATTACAGTTCTTTTCCTCAGCAGCATGGATGCTTAACTGAGTTTGAATTCCCTCTGGCAATCCTCAAGTTACTTGTTTTCCGCTCATATGACCTGTGAGCCAAAACTTGCATAGTTTCTGCCCCCATGGCCTTCCAGGAAAAGAAAAAGATAGTGATTCTTCCTGATGTTTGCAACAGCTGGGTGTGGTCTACACTTTTTTTGTGCAGTGTGCAGAGGGCTCAGCTTTCTAACTCTCAAATTGCAGGAGCCAGAGTCATGGCAATTAAGACAGGAAGGTTTTTTACCTCTTTAGTAAGAGCTCTTGGTTTTCCCAGGTTTTTTATTCTAGTTGGTCAAGCCCACTGTGCTGAGTCCAATGTTTGGCTAAGGTATATTTCCACTAAAAGTCATTCTACGTTTGATGCTAAAAATGCAGAATCCGCTGCTTTGCTTCATTTGCTTACTAGTGAGTTGCCCTTCACTGTGGAAATTGGGCACAAATTTCTGGTCTCAGTTTCTAGAGGTTACAGTGTGTTAAGCTCACGGCACAATTTACAGGGTTCTTTTGCTTTCTGATAATATATAGAATAATTTAGTTGGAAAGGACCTCTGAAGATCATCTAGTCCAACCTGCTTCTCAAAGCAGCACGAGCTTCAAAGGTAGATCAGGTTGCTTGGACCCTTCTCTAGTCAAGTTTTGAAAATCTCTGAGGATGGAGATTCCGCAACCCCTTGAAGTAACTTGTTTCGGTGCTTACCCACCCTCATAGACTTAAGTGTTTACCGTATATCCAGTCTGAATTTCTTTTTCCGCAGCTTGTGATCATAGCCTCCTGTCCTTTCACTGTTCACCACTGAGAGGAGTCTGGCTCCATCTTCTCTGTAACACTTGTGTCGTGGTTGTCTGGGTTGAATAATTGAAGTTGCAGCGCATAGGTGGACCTTCGTCAGTCACACGAGTAACCCGCTTTCATTATGGAAAGGATTGCTGTTCATGGCTCCCTTGGTTTCTTCTCTTCACCACTTTTTTTTTTTTTTCAAAGAACCTTTCCTCTTGTCCCATGACAACTTAAGAGCCTTTGATGACCTTGTTTAAGATCATTTCATTAAAAAAATCTAAGGTAAAGATTTTCATTTACAGACCCACGTAGCCCCTTTCCCAATTTGTCATCTCATGCTCTTGACTACTAGTTCCGTTCTTCATAGTATTTTCTACTATTCTGTTTGGTACAGGGCTCAGACGTACTGTGCTGTATCTCTCAAGAACTACCTTTTTAAAGACAGACATCACAATTGCCTCTTTCTGGTCTTGTGCTGTGGATAATTTAAGCGACAGGTTTGGTCGTGTCCTATTAGAGCTTTTTTAGGACTCCTGAGTGAATGCCAGCTGGTTCTAAGGTTTACTCCTGCCATCAAATCTCCCCTGTTGACATTTTAATTAGAAACAGTCCCTCAGACCTATCCCAAGAAAAAGCCTCTGTGTTGGATATTTATGATCTCTGTGGCAACTGCTGATAATGATGATTAATTTGATTTTTCCAACTGGCCCTGTTTTCTCCCGAGATGTTGGCACTGATCGTGTGTCATGCCTGCTGATCATCTGGCAGGCTTTCTGCCTCTGATGTTTTTTGATCAGGTTTGTTATTATTATTTGCTTTTATGTCTTTAGCAAACTGTTCTTCAGGTTTTTTTTAGGAGGGGGAGTGGGTTGTCTACTTTATTGTGGATTTTGCATTTTCTTTACTAGAGTTCAGGCTTTTATCATTTCCCTTCTTTTGACATGTAAATTCCCTTTAAAGGCAGTCTTTTTACTTCTAACAGCTTCTTGGTTGCACAGTGTCTAATCTCCACAAACTGAACTGAAACTTTCCCATTGGATGATGATTCCTTGTTGGCAACTTACGTAAAGCCTGCCAGGCAGTTCTTGATTAAAAGTTGAATTCTGTATTTCTCTATCCCTTATATTTTGTTTGGAAACTAAGTGCTCTGCAATAATTTCACTCATCCTGCTCACCCTGCGCTGCTGCTGCTCTTGCATTCTCTAGCATCTTGGGTATTCCAAGACTTAGTAAAACAGAACGTAAGGCCAGAGATCTTCTTAGTCAGTGCTTATGCCCAAGTTACCTAGGCTTGCTGATTTAAAAATGCTTATCCCTCTCAGCTGAAGTGCAGAAAGATGATCCCAAGTGACTGGATTACCCTAGCCTAAGGCTTTTCTGTGCTTTAGCTGAGCTGTGGCAGCTGGCTGTGCTTGTGCATCCAGCTCTGCTAATCGTGCCGTAAAGTGCTTTAGGCATGGTTACTCTTCAGATGAAATCATAGTTTGCCCAACTCCTTTAACTAGAAGCTGAGAGCAGCTGTTGCCCCATTAGATTTCGTCTGCTTCTGCTGAAGTTAACCTTGAAAGGGGTTTCAGAAGTATGGCCTTTCTGCTCCTAGCTCTGGTTATTAATATATAGTAATATAAGCAAATGAGTTTTCTCATCCCAAACACAGTGGATTCTTAATTTCTCCCAGTTACGCCCCATAGGCTGTGTTTGCAACTGTGCTAGCAGTCCTGAGACTGTGAAAGGAAGTCGGTGAGAAATAGAATCCTTCAAAACCCTGGAAAAATTAGGTTGCACATGATTAACTGAAAACTATGCAAACGTAGCTAATGAATGCCTAGAGTTCTGCACAGGTACAGCATCCAGGCAGGTGAGTTCAATGGCAAAATACAGATTTTTCCTAATAGCCATGTACTGTTGTTACTGTGACTCTGCAGCCAGTTCCCCAGACTCAGCAGGGGTCAGAGTGGGCTCATGCAGTGGAAAAGAGTTGGGCGTAGACTAATGAACGAAGATGAAACAAATGGTTTCTCCCTTCTCAAAAAGGTGCTGATTTTTATTTTCCAAAACGTGTGTAGAACTGTCTCCTGTCAGTGTCTGGCTATTCATGGTTGTAATTCAGGTACACAGGTTACCACCATCCAATGAAATCACATCTATCATGACAAAGTTTCTGTAGTGTTTACGATAAGTTATTTCCAGTATTAAAAAGTTCTTATCAAGCAGCAAAGGGAATTTCAGTGAGTTGTCCTTGGAGCCATTGATTGTTCTCAACAGCTGCCACAGGCTCAGGAGCTCCAGTGTTTGTGCTTGCTGCTGGCAGCTTTCAGCACCTTAAACAAGCAGCATCAGACAAAGCCCCGTGCTCCAAACCTGCCCAGCATCCCCTGGGCACGGTAACCCACCGGCCCCAGGCACGGGGAGAGCACAGCAAGGGCACTGTAAAACCTGTGATTCAATTGCTCAGAAATGAGTTTGTGATGTGGAGCTGCAGCCCTGCCGTGTGCTGTGAAGCATGGGCTCAGGAGCAGGTTGCCTGTCTCACAGCGTTTTCTCCACGCTTGGGGTCTCTGAGGATGTTGGGAAATGAACTGGAGTTTGCAGTTCTGGACCAGGGCACAAAGAAATTCTGTGTCTCTCTTTATGTTTCTTTGCAGATGGGTCATGCCTGGGTGTGTTGGGGGTCTGAGACGGAGTCTCTCAGCGAGTCTGAGAAGAACAGTGACTTCCAGTCTCTTCTCAGCTGGGATTCAAGCTTGGATCTAGAAGTGGGGAGCTGGAGGAATACCAAGGAGACAGCCGTAGGGGAGCTAGAAGAGAGCAGCCAAGAGGAGGACCGCAAACAGGAGTTCAGTGAGTCTCTCTGGGAGGATGACAGTGAAGACTGCCAAAAGGTGGAGGTGCAGCGTGAACAGGACAGCCTTCTCCAGTTCCTCTCAGAGGTAGGTCTGTTTGGATTACAGTAATGGGGGCTGCATGGCTCAGGCCCTCCTGAGATACTACTGTTTTCAGTGCCTCCACCATCTTGATGGATTAAAATATCCTCGCGGAGGAGCAAATGGCCTGAGTTCACTTGCTCCCTGTTCCAATCCTAGCCTTTGCTCCTATTTGAAGCTGGCACTACAGCTGGGCAGCTGCTTTGCCAGAACACAGCTCACCCTAGAGTACTGAGATGTCAGTGAATTGACACCGTAATAATGACACAGGACTGCATCAGAAGATTTTGCAAAGAGCCCTAAAAATGGAAAGCGTTTGTGCGTGAAAGCAAAAATAGCATTTGCGCTACTTATTTTTTCTTCCTTTTGCCTTCAGAGTTTGAAGCAATAAACCTCTGTGTTGCAGGTAACCCACTTAATGGAACCTCTCTGCATTAGCAGCACAGATTCAGCACAGAGTCACTGGGACTTTTGTGGCTCTAGGACGCAGGATGATGAGGAATATGTAAGCTGCCCGGAAAAAAACATGGGGACAGCAGTCTCAGAAGTGGAAGAAAGTCAGCTGCAGGGCCTGGCAGAAGAAAATGAGAAAGAGCACTTCCCAGAAAGAGAGGTATGGGAGAGGTGGTCTTAAGAGAGCCTCAGATTCTGGATGAGAGACAGAGGCTATGCAGGAATACAGTTTTAGAGAAAAGATGGGGAAGTCCCAGGATCCAGTGGGGAGGAGGAAACAGAGTGAGGGACAGGCGTAAGAAGGGAAGGATGCTTCTAATGTATCGATACGGATCTTTATGAGTAGGAAGGTTATCACAGATCAAACACCCAGATGTAGGAAGAGCTCCTTAGCAGTGGAAAGAAGTGTTTTATTACCAGAAGAACTGGTAATACTTGGTTTGCTCTAACTGCTGTGTTATGCAGCACACAGCTTGGCTGGTTTCAGGCCCACGTGGATGTGATAGCAAGAACCATCTGCTCCTGGAAACCGTCATCTCTTGGAAGCAGGCATTGTCTAGCATGGGTTTGTGCAGCGCCTTGTCCAGGGGGCTCTGGGTTCTTACCAGCCTGCAAGATGTTGCTGAGACAGATAACATAACAACAGTAGAAGAACAGTGTGATTTTTTTCAATGCCCACACATGTTTGTTCCATTGCAAACTTAGATATAAGAGATGAAAATGTGGGAACCCTGAAAGTCATTTCTACTTGTTCAGCCAGGACAGGGTTATTCCTGGCAGTTCACTAGAGGTCTGACCCATAGTCAAGGCCCTATAAAGCACAATGTCCGCTTTCTTTCTGAGGAGCCTGCTCCGTGCTTCAGGTCTCCTGTTGAGGACTTTTCAGGTGTCCCTGTACAGTGTAATTCCACTTCTGGACTCCAAAAAAATCCTCTCTTCCTGCATCTTTCACCCTGTACTGGTAAATCACTGCGTCATCAGCACCAGTTTCTTTGCTGGCTGAATCTGTTCTCTATCATGGTCAGTGTGGGAGTCTGTGAGGAAACAACCCTGTTGGGTTCTAGAGGTTCCTTTTGTCTGTGTCTCAAGGCAGTCTTACCTCTTCATCCATAACTCTCTGCAGACAAGAAGACTGACACAACACTGGGGACCAGTCAGCACCACAGTCCTTTGAACTAGCTAGAGGTGGTTATGATCTGAGAGATCAGACCCAGGTGTTACTAAAGTCCTGGGCAGCATGATGAAGATGTGAATAGCTTAGGTCAAACATCATCCTCCAGAATAGGACAGAAAGTGCCAGCTCCTATCCAAGGTTGGCTACAGTAAGGGAATGTACAGCAGGCTGGCTTCTAGATAAAGGATTCCAGGGGATGGGCTGCCATTTCAGCTGTCTCTCATTTTTCCTCTCTGTTCCTCAGGACGAGGCTCAAGAGGCATCTGGGGAACAAGCTGCAGGCGAGCTGTGTCCGCAAGAGAAGAGCAATCAGCCCCTGCATCAAGATGATAGAGAGAGCACTTCTGCAGCCTCCCCCCTGGGGTCCACAACTCCTGCCTCCACACAGCTGTAAGTAGTTCAGTCTGCCCTCTTGCAGGGGCAGCAGAGCAGAGCTGTTTCCTTGGGCCTACATGAGAGCAAGTATATGGCATAAGTCACCTTGAGAAAGGTGAGATATCCAAGGAGAACAGGAGGGAAAAGAGGTAACTTGTGCTATCTCTGTGGGACTGCTAGTGTTTTGGGGTGAGAGAAACTGGTAGCCCCCTTTAGGCAGATGTATGCATGTCACATGTAGGCTCTGCCACTGGGCTTACCTGGGCTGACTTTTGAAGGAAAAAGGTGGTTTCTTGGGATGAGAAACCAAATGAAAAACCCGACAGCTTGATCCTGCTCTTTAGAGCTGTTCAGCCTGGCTATTGTTTCTATCTATTGGCCTCCGTCTTCCTGTGTCTTGGGTAGTAAGTCCTGAATTCTGATGCAACATGCTTCCACCATCTCACCCCATGATGCTTTATGTAGCTACACCAAAGGATCGGTGAGCTTTGTCCAAGGGGATGCGTTGGGCCCTAGCAAAGGAAATGTCCCGTCATTTGTCTTGAGCGTGATGACCTGACAGTATATTCCCTCTGCAGGGTGCAGCTGAGCTGGGATAACCCCCTGCAACGTTTGCTCTTCAAGAGGACTCTTCTGTCCATCTGGAAGATGATAGCCAGTCACAGGTGTGTGGGGATGAGGGGTTGGGCTTGGCCTGGCTCCTGTGCATGCTGTCCTGAGTTCCAACCCCCCTGTCACTAGGCCCTCTCCTCCCCTTCAGGATTGCCATTGCAGGCTGGCCTCTCTCCCCCTGTCGTTGCAGCAGGGACAGCTGTGTGCTGCAAGGCTGGAGAGAAGACTCTGCATATTTACTTCCTCTGGTTAACGTGGCAGCTGCTGTGCATTCAGGAGCCCAGTTGCTGCTTCCTGCTGCAGCCAGGTTCAGCAAGAGGTTCAGCCTCCTCCTGTGCCTGGCTGTGCCAGCCACTGAAGTTTTGAGTGTTGCTAATAGGCTCATGGCTAGCAGGGAGAGGCAAGCATAGGTCCATGTCGCAATGTTGCCTTCAGCCCTCCGCTTGGAGACATACAGAGGTCATTTGTTGTGCTTGCCCCTGTAGATACAGTGGCCCGTTCCTGAAGGCAGTGTCAGACAAACAAGCCCCTGGCTACAAGGATGTGGTGAAGAGGTGAGTTTGTGGAATAAGTCTTCTCTAGCTGATTTCTGTCACTATTGCAGCTCTGCCCCTGCCTGAGTAGGGGACTTGCCTCTGCAGCCCGACACTCTCTTACTCCCCATGTAGCTGGGAAAAGGTGCCTCAGTCAAAGCCCTCTTTTGCCCATTGCTCTCTGCCCAGATGTTTTACTTTCAGTGGAGAAGTGGATTGTAAGAATATTTCCCAGATAGATTAAGGGTATTTTTCAGAGCTGAATCATATTCTATTCTGGTCACAGTTGTCCTCTCTGCAGCCATTCATTTTCTTTTTCTGTCAAAATAAGAGAAGTCATATTTATTCTCCATCATGTTCCACTTGCCAGCACTGCTATTTTTGGTAGTGGCACCATTCGATTTTAGGGGGTTTTAATAGATACCTATTTTAGTATCTTCCTTTTCTTTCTCCACTAAGACCTGGGCTCACTTCACAAAGACTAATTACTAGACTCGCTCTGCTTGCCTTCTCTGGAGCTCAACATCAAACTTTTTTCAGATGTAATTGCTAGTGGCTTGCGAAGTTGATTGGATGGCAAGTGTCGCATTGGCTAAACTTATTTTTGTCTGACTTAGAAGACAAACATTTCTCACTCTCCCCCTCTGTCATGAGCAATAAAATTGATTGAATATAGCTGCGCGCTGAAAAAAAAATAAGCAAGTTCATTTAGAGCCTGAAGAATGCCTGGCTCTGGCTTGTTTTTTGTAGACCCATGGATTTAACCAGCATAAAGAGAAACTTGTCGAAGGGCCACATTCAAACCAGTGCCCAGTTCCAGCGTGACCTCATGCTCATGTTCCAGAACGCAGTGATGTACAACAGCGTGACCCACCACGTACACCGCATGGCTGTGGAAATGCAGCAAGAGGTCTTGGAGCAGCTGCAAATGCTGGGTGAAGCCCTCCTGTGCTCTGGGGACAGGCTGGGCTGGGGGAGAAGGTAACAAACCACGTCTGAGGCCTGTTTCTTTCGGAGCAGCGTTGTCTCCCTAGCTCTGTCCCTGGCTGAGATCGGCTGGTGGCAGAGCAGCCTTTGGCAGACCTAGTTACCCCTTTGTGGTGCTTGACAGGTTGATGGGATAAAGAACAAAGCAGTTGCTAGGAGGTGAGCTGGAAGAGAAACCTTCGTCCTTGGTGGGAAAAGCAGCACATCCCTGCAATGAGTAAAAAGGGGGAAAATAATCTTCATTATCAGCTGAGGTGAATCTGGGCCCACCCCTATCAAAATGTCTCACTGATACAACTTTGGTGCTGCAGAAGAGCTCTGCTATTTAGGTGCCTTCACTGTATGTTTACAGCACTGCTGTGTTCAGGTTCGGGTGTAGATTTAGCGTTGAACATTCCTGTTCTGCCTCAACTGGGGGAGGACTGGTCACAGACCTGTGACATCCCTGCCCTTCATCATCCCAGCGTCTGGGAGGCCGCGGTTGTTTGCCAGTAAAGGCAGATGTTGTAAAGTAAACTTTGCTCCAGCCTGTGTTTGACCCCCGTGCTGTGCATGGTGGGGAGAGGGACCCCCACACCCCAGCTCTAGGGGAGGGCGGACAGGGGCGCCCCTGGTAGAGGAGCCCCGGCTGCAGGGCGGACGCCGGGGAGACGCGGGCTGGGGGATCCCTAGGGCAAGGGATGCCGGGCCACGGGGGGGACCCCGGGGAGAGGCGGGCAGGGGGATCCCCAGGGCAAGGGATGGCGGGCAAG